ATTCTTTGACGCTCTTCCCATTGAGAGGTGGAGGTCTATGATGATCTCCTGTTCCACCCCGCCCCAAATCTGGGCTGGGGCTCTGTGACTGCTTTGACCAGTAAAGTACGGTGGGAGTGAAGCTTCTATACTGTGGTTTTTCATGCCAGGTCATAAAGGGCCATGCAGCTACTGCCTGTTTGGCTTGTAACCGGGACCAGCTTCATGGGCATGTGACCTAGTTAGCTGCAAAGGGCCCTGTACTCAGAAGGGTCATTCACCCATTTTAATGCTCTTCTGTAGTCTTGAAATTCTTAATGATTTTATGTTTGAACTTGTGTTTTGGAAGTGAAGTCTGATAGGACAAGAGATCATGCCTGTGAGCAGAAGAGATACACACAATATGGGTGTCGACAGGTCACACATCGTGTTCACAATGCCCATGAGCATAGAATCCCGGTGAAGCCACAACGCGTGGACATTCAGGGAGACTCAAAGTGAATACGGGGAAGCATGTGACGTCTATGATTATGTTGGGCACAGCCCAAAGAGGCCATGCTTTTTGTCCAAACCATAAGTTCCTTTGGTCACAGAAAAAAGGCAGTGGTGTTTTAAGAAACACAGATAACCAAGGGACCTATTATAGCCCTTGTTATTCATGTCACTTCCCTGTGTTAGTGAACCACTTACGCTGAAAATGATGACATGGAAAGATAGGGCGCCCCATTGTTCCCTTTCTTTTCAGTCTTACTTACTCATCAGGAAGTAGGAAGGAGAGCATGTTGGTAGAATGTATGCATATGAGGAAGTGAAATTCAGTTAGGTTGGTGCAGCATTTCCACTGTTCTGATAAGAAGTTGATAACTTATATACACATATATAAGTTATGAAATAGCAATGATCTAATTTCAGTGATTCCACATATGAGTTCAATGCTCTTACATTTGAATTTAAAACCATCATTGCAAAATAAAGTACATGGGTGTTGTTTTTCACCACTGAGGTTGGGTAGTTTGATATGCAGAAATAAATGGACCCTAGTTCATTTTATTTGGGCTGATCCCCATTTTTTGTTAATACAAATGAAGCTGCAATTAATAACTCTGTGCATATATTAGATATATTCAGGGCAGATTTCTAGAAATGAGGATTACTGTGTCGAAGGGTAAATGCTGGGCCCCACATTCCATGCCATAGGGACATAAAGGTCAAGTGGAAATGGGCAATTCTTCCAGGACAGCTGATGGCCACCTGGGATCTTTTCTTCAGAAGAAATGCTTCAGGCTCGAAGCCTCTGAACTCCAGTTTAAGAACCCCTGGAGCAGAGGTGGAGCCGGGGAAGAACTGAGCTAGGTGGTGAAGAGCCTGATTGCAAGCTGGTTGTTAGATTTATTCCCAGGGTGCTGGGGAGCCACTGAAGGCTCCAGGGAGGGGAAGTGACCTGACTCTAGTCCAGGAGAGAGCAAACCTGGAGGTGGGGCCTGTTTTGAGGCTGCTGGGATCTTTCAGGCAAAAAGTGAGGCCAGCGTGAGAGGTCAGTGCTGGAAGGGAAGCAGTGCTGGGCACCCTGTTTCCTTTTGTGTCACTTAGGAAATGGCACCTTTGGGTATAGCTGCTCTGGCCCCAGAGAGGGAAGCTGTGATCAAAGATGGCAGAGCCACCCACCAGCCATGGACTTTCACGGCTCTAGACTTACATGGAAGAGAAATATTTAACCCACTGAGTTTTGGGGTCTTTTAACTATGGCAGCTTAGCCTGTACCCCAAGCCACTGTGTGATCTTAGGCAGGGCACCGTACTTCTTGTGTGTCAATTTCCACATCTGTAAAACGGGGTAATGATAGAACCCAATAGGATTCAAAGATGGTGCCTGTAGAGCTAGCACGGAGGAGGCATACAGTCAATGCCTACTATGTCCACCCAAGTCCCCCTGGCTGACCTTGTGTAGGAGACACTTTGAACTCCCCATTTAGCCTGAGGGCAAGCCCCCTATCTTCTCTTCCTCCATCTGACTCCTCCAGTCGCACCTCGCTCGGGTCAGCGGACACAACAAGGCCCTGGACCCAGAATTATACAATAACAGGATCTGGATGACTTTCAGACAGAGATGATCCCTCTCCTACACTTTACAGATTAAGAAACTAAGGTCTAGAGAGGGGCAGGAGTTTGCCCCAGCTCCACAGGCAACTCAGGCAGCGTGGTGGCTGGATCCAGTCCCTGGCAGACTGGGGTGGGGAGTCGATCTCTGACGTAGGTGCTCGGAGGGCACATTCTCCCGCCGCTTTCCTCCTTGCTCTCTCTGCCAGCCACACTGGCCTCCTTGTAGTTCCTCATGACTACCTCAGGGCCTTTGCACTTGCTGTTCCTCTAGTGGGCCTACTATTCCCTTAATTCTTCCCCTGGCTGCTTCTTCCTCACCTTATGAGTTCTCAATTTAAGCATCACCTCTTCAGAGAGGCTTTTCCCAATCACCCTAAGTTGGGCCCTCTGTAATCTCTTATCTCTACCTCCTGTTTATTTTCCTCATTTACAGTGTATTAACTTGTTAGTTTTTTAAACTAAAAATAATTGGCTTTGGCCGATCTCTCCCTCTAGCCTGTTAAGCTCTATGAGTATAGGACTGCGGATGTGTACCTTGTTTACTGTCCATCCCCATCACCCAGCCAGGCCTTGGCCCAGGCAGGTCCTCAATACATACTTGCTCTGTGAAGAAATGAATGTGTGCCTGAATGAATGTGCCAGGCCTGGATGTCCACCATCACACTGAGTGTGCACGACTTCCCTGTGAACTAGATCCCAGTCTCCTTATTGTGCAGATGTGGAAAGGGAGGCTCAGAGAGGTCCCACCGGATAGGGCAGAAATGTGTCGGATGTTAAAGGTCTTTGGACTTCCCTGCCCTCAGGATCCACGAGAACCTCAGTTGCGCATTCCCGTGTTAGCCTAACATGAGAAAGTAGCCCATGCATGCTGGACGTGGCCTGGACCAGACCCCATTCTACAAAGGGCGGCTCCATCCAAAGATGCTGCTGCTGGTGTTACCAAGGCAATGCTGATGGCTTTCTGAGGCATCTTTAAATGGGAGAGGTCAAGGCTCACACAGGCACCAAAGGGAAGGGAAATCTGGAAAAAAGGGCAAAATCCCCCAGCCACCGAGATAATCTACCCTTGTAATGGCTGCTGCCCTACTCCCTGCAAAGGGCCACCTGCTGCCTCGCCCATGGCGGTCATCTCGGGTGTGCACAGTGAACTCTCTCCCCTAGTGTGGAACGTGCCTATGCTGGGAACATGCAGAGATCTCGGGAACAATGTGTTCTGTCCATCCGGCTCCATCAGGACATACCAGGTGCCAGTGGGAAAGACAGGTCTTGGAGAGCTTTCCAGAAAGTTCCTTCAGTCTTTTGATAGTGGAGGGGGCACCACTCTAACATTTTTGTGGTCGGTGCCAAGATTCCTCCAGGAGTTCTGGACTAGGCGGGCAGCGTACAGATGCAGGCACACTGGAGGTGGCTCTGACTCCTTAGATGAAACCCTTTTCCTCTCTGAGCTCTAATTTCTTCATCACCCCAATGATGTATGATGTGGCCAAGGCCACACCAGCCATGCACCCCACAGGGCCTTGTGCTGCCTGGGGTCCTTTAGCTGATCTTGGCTGCAGCCATCATGAGTCAGCGTCTTGTCAGAAGGGCTTTTAGAGGTCTGCAGGTGTTGTGTCCTTATTGCACAGATGGTAAACGGAGGCTCAGAGAGGGCCCGGGGCTCTGTTCTGGGGACAGAGCCAGTACTGTGAACCAGGGTCTGACATCTCCTGGGCAGGACACAGCTATGTTCTTGATAGTCTGGGGCAACCTGAGGATGAGCCGGAGCTTGGAGCCAGGCCTTGGGGTGCAGGGAGGCTGGGAGAAGGGGCAGAGATAGAGATAAAAGAGATGGGGGTCAGAGAGAGAGAGACAGAGAAAAAGGTTCTTGCCTGCCCAGCGTCGCTGCTTCCTGAAACGGTGCCCGTTTCTCTACTGCTCTTCCGCATGACGTGGGTGGGACCGACCCCACTCCCTGGTTCCAGGCATGTTCATGCGACCCAGGTCTGGTCAATCAGAATCACAGTGATAAGTGCAGCAATGGGCACAGGACCAGGCCTGGCTGGAGAGAATCATGTCTGTGCTGGATCACTGGGACAAGACAGCTCTCTTGTCTTAGGGATACTGAGCTGGAAGGACATGAGCCTAGGGCTGGTGGGGCCATCTTATTAGGAGAGAACATGATTGGGAATGAAGTCAACATAGCAGATGGCAGGGCTGAGAGATGGAGAGGGACACTATTTGAGCACCTGGATGTAACCACACCTGAATCCACCTCTAGACTTCCTGGTATACGAGCCAATCCGTTCCTTAGGATAGGGTTTCTACGCCTTGTGCCAAAGAAGAGTTCTAGAATGGAGTAAGAAGAAAGGTGAGCAGGAAAGGTATTTAAGAATAGTTGTCTGAGGGAAACCCAGATCAGCTTCTTGGTCTTTTTGGAGAATTGGAGTACAGACAGGGATCTGGGCCTTCACCCCACGCGGAGGAGTCTGTCCCTGGGGCTCGCAGCTTTGCCCTCATCTCCTCTCCAGCATACAACAGTGTAAGTGATAAATGCTGTGGATACCAGAATAAGTGCTTAATTTACCTAGGTCGAGAAGAGCTGGCGGTGTGCACTAGCGGTCCATTTCCCACCCCATTCACCTCTTTAGGAAGCAGCATTTATTAGGCACCTGCTTCATGTCAGGCTCCCGTCAGAAGTTGCCAGGCGTGGTCTCATTTCCTCTTTGCCGCAGCCCCGTGAGGAGGGAGTATCATCAGCTCCGTTTGTGGTGGCCTCATTGCAGCGGTTCTCAACCTTCCTAACGCCGCGACCCCTTAATACAGTTCCTCAGGTTGTGGTGACCCTCCAACCATAAAATTATTTTCGTTGCTACTCTGTAACTGTAATTTTGCTACTGTTATGAACCGTCATGTAAATATCTTTTTGTTTTCCGATGGTCTTAGGCGACCCCTGTGAAAGGGTCGTTCGACCCCATAAAGGGGTCGCAACCCACAGGTTGAGAACCGCTGCTTATTGGGACTAAGGACAGTGACACAGTGATGGGGGATGGGTGGCAGAGTGGCTGCGGCCTCTCTCATACCCTGTCCTCTGAAAGAAGCTCATGAGGAGCCTCTGGTCTCCAGACTCAGGCAAAAGCCCTGTCTCCCAGACCCTCAGCTATAGCATCATGTTGAGTGGGACAGGCGGAGGGGGCTACGGGTTCCAGCTTAGACCTAGAAGGATCTGGACCTGGGAATTGGTATCATGCCCAATGCATCCTGGACAGTCCCCAGCAGTCCCTATACTTGGTCCAGGATGAGCTGGGCTTACAAGGAGAGCTGAGGGCAGCCTCGGACACAGAGCTGGCTTCCTGGGACCGGAAGGAGCCTGGGAGGACACCAGCCCATAGCACAGACAGGAAGCTCGGTTCTAGACTCTTCTTCAGGGGTGGTGTGTGTCTGTTTTAACCCAAAGTTTCCTTCCAGTTGCTTTTAGGGGCTGTGTGAGACTTTCACTGCGGCTTTTGGAGCCCGAAAGAGTGAGTGCAGCTAGTGGTGGGAATGACGCCCTGGGCCCCCTCCTTGTGACGCTCAAGAACCAGCTTTTTCCAAGGGCATCCACAGCCCCGAGAGACGCTCTAGGACAAACAGGGCCCATTTTCAAATAAGCGAATTTCGAGAAAGCTGCCCACTTTAGCCCCTTCCCGGGCAGTCACAAAGCACATGACCACATCAAAGGCTCTGACAAGTCCGGCAGCTAAGAATGCCTGTTCACATTGATTTAACCTGGTGCTTCCCTCTCTCACTTGACCGTAGGTGCTTTGAATGGGGAGTCCGAGCTATTCTCTGTGGAACAAATTTGGGGACCTACTGGGGGTAAAGGAATCTCACTTAGATGTCCTGAAGCCCCTGAGAGACTAGGTCTGAGCTCCATGTGCTGGGGCCTAGGATGGGTGGACAGTGTGGAGTGAAAATAATGATTCCATTACGGGGTGGATGTAGCCCCTTCAGCCTTTAACAGAAAGTTCAAGGACATCTCAAGGCTGAGAAAGCTGGGAACAGGAGATGGCCTTCCCACCGCCCCCAGGGAAAGAATCTGTGTCTCCATCTGAGTGGTTTCCTGCCTGCAGATGCCTTCCCACCTGCCTGGAATTCCCTTGTTAGCCAGGTATCCCTCTGAGGAGCCAAGTTCAGTTTGTTCCCAGCTCATTTGGGGTATTGTGACCCTCCAACTGACAAGGGGCCTCTGTAGATTGGAGGGAAGAGGAAATAGGGGTACTACAGAGGCAGGAATCCCCAAAAGCCCACCATTTCACAACTTGAGGGGAACAGGGAGGCAGCTGACTCTTTGAGACACCTGGTGCAAGGCGGGCTGGCTCAGGAGACCCAGGTGTCCAGGATCAGGCCCTGTGTCCCGGGTTTGGGTCCAATTTGTCCTGGGACTCCCAAGTCCCGTCCCTTCCTGTGGGTCCGGCCTCCAGGTGTGGCTGCTGTTAGACGCCCGAGGGACGTACCATCATGCGAGTGGCACGCAGCGAGTAGCCGGGGCCCTGGAAGTAGTGCCAGCGGATGCCATTCAGCTTGCGCGCGTGGTGGCGAGCCGGGTAGTAGATGCCGTTGAGGTTTGAGAGACCGCAGGCGTCAAACCACCACCCTGGTGGAGGGGAGGCAGAAGCTTTGGGAAACCGGGGGCCCACATGTGGGGTGAAGGCAGCCCTCTATCCCAATGACTGATCCGGCTGTTGCCTCCTCCAGGAAGCCAGCTCATGGGAGATGGGCCTGGGTGGGAGTGGGTATGGCGGGTGGGAGGGACCCTCAGACCCTCTGCCCAGCCTGGGGCCTCTGGAGGGTGGCACTGGGCTCAGGCTGCCACTCTCGGCCCCTGTACGCCCTCACCTTCTCCCCAGCCTCGGTGTGTCCCTGTCTCCTTCCCTTGCTGTCCTCTTTCCTGCAGCCGCACAAGCCTCCGTCTCCCTCTTTCCATGGGTTTCTTATGCTCTATGGTCTGGGTCTCTTACACTCGGGGTTGTCTCCGTCTCTCTCTGATGATCTCTGTCTGCCTTTCTGAGTCTGTCTCTCACACACTGTGTTCCTCTGTCTTTCCTCGGTCTGTGTTTCTCTCTCCATCTCTCCCTGTGTACTCTGTCCCCCTGTAGCTCTCTGTTTCCGCTGTCCTGTCTCTATGTCAGTTCCAGTGTTTCTGTCTCCATCTGTCCCTGTCTCTGTGTCTCAGAAGGTCTCTTATCTGCAGTTTATGGGTGAGTGGAGCTTCACCCCCCCCCTGCAGCCCCACCCTGCACTCACCTGCGGACAGCATCTGGGCGCACTTGCACAGGCAGTTATCATTGTCTGCATCGCGGGTGCTGAAGTTGGTGCCCTGCAGGACCAAGCTGCTCTGGCGCCCCGCTGAGCCGCTGTACCCACTCAGAGAAAGTCTGGAGGCCACCCGGAGATGGTGATAGGAGAGGGGCTTAGAGTCAGGTTGGTTGAGGGGTTGATTGAGAAAGGGGCTCCACTCTGGTTGTTCTAGGAGGGGGAGCCCCAGTCTGGGGTGCTTAGGCCATCTCCCTTTCTGGATTGCCCTCCCTGCCTGCTGCCCCTTAGAGACTGAGCACCTACTGTGTGCCAGGCCTCCCTCATCTTGTTGAACCTGTGTCTTGCACAGGAGTGAGCATGATTGTGATCATAATAATAGTGAGGACAATGGTTAACATTTTCTTAAACATCTACTATGTGCCAGGCATTGTTCAAAGAGCTTTCCATGGGCCAACGCATCTCATTTAACCCTCACAACACCCAAGTAATCCCATTTTAAAGATGAGAAAATGGAGATCCCAAGAAGCAAAGGAGCCTATCCAAGGTCTCAGAACGAATGAGGGTGAGAGCCAGATCCTAACCAAATGGGGCCTGATTTGGGAGCTATGTGCATTTTCCTCCCCAGCTGACCATCTGCAACCCCAGCCCTGTCACACCTCCTCACATCTACCTACCTCCTCCAGGAAGCCTTCCCTGACCACAGCAGCCCACCTGGATCTGTGCCCCAGGTGAACCCCAGCCCTGTGACTTCCACATCTGCAGCCAGCTAGGCAGGGTTTATACTTCTCTGCCAGGCTGCGAGACCCGTGGGCACATCCAAACCTGCTAGGAGATTATGACCATGAGGTTCTGGGGGCAGAACACCTGGATTGAAACCCCAGCTCTGCCCTTGCCACCTGCGTGACCTTGGGAAGACTGCTTCACCTCTCACCTTCAGCTTTTTCATCTGTTAAAATGGTAATGATAGTCTATCAACAGTGATGGCCTCGTTTGGCTGTTGGGATTCTATGACTTCTGTGTGTGATGGGTGTAGTGCTGCATGTGATTCGTCCCTGTGTTCCCGGCCCCTGGTACACGCTGGCACAGGCTTCTGGTGAGCCTGGTTGGAGAGTGTTCAGTGCGTGTAGCAGGGGAGGGGCAGTACTGGCAGCTGAGGTGGGGAGCCAGTCTGGGAGCAATTGTGAAGGTCCTGTGTGTAGAAGCAAGTGGACACCAGATGCAGCCAGCACAGCTTGGGGAAACTCTGGTTCCCGCAGGGCAGGGCCTGGGAGATGCCCCCGTGGGATCCAGAGGGAATGTGGGGCCTGGGTATGTGGCCTGGCTAAGTCCCTGCACCTCCCACCAATGGGTTCTGTCAATGGTGAGGCAAGGGCATGGCCCTCAGGTTCAGATGGGGGTGGCCAGCCCAGAAGCCCTATCTGTGCCCTTAAACATGCCACCCTGGGCTCGCAGGACTGGGATTGCAAACTCCCTGCCAAGAGGGCTGTCTGGCCAGGGGCTCCCTGGGGTGGGGATAGGCGGGCTGGCCCACTGTTCAAATGGCTCCAGTTTCTCCTTGTGGCCATTGAAGGCTCCCCTTGAAAGCTCAGTGATGTCAGTTCAAGGCCAGCCTCGGGGCTCAGGCTGAGGTTTGGGGTCACATTCAGACTAGGGCTGTGTGGAATCAGGGTGGGACAAAGCCGACTGGTCTCCTCGGGTCACTCTAGCAGCACTGGTCCTTCTACTGTCCCCAAGTCCTCAGCTCAGGCTCTGCCTCTCTTCTCCTCCCCTTTGGGAGCCAGCATGGGGATCAGTGAACTCTGGGGGACACCCAGCTCATGGACCAGGAAACCCCACTTGACTCTTGTTCAGATGTACTTTGAACATGTTGGTGGCTCAGGCCTGGGAACCCAAACACATCAGTCTCTGGGATCCCCAAATTAAACACACAAGGTGTGTCTTCCACGTGTGTGTGGATTTGTGCGTGAGTCTGTGTGTCTGTAGTTTGACCACCTGGATACCATCTTCCTGCTTGTGTGTGTATGTGTATGCTTGTTTTGAGTTTGTGCTGGAATATCTATTGTGGGCCCAAGGGTGTGCTCTGGAATCTGCCTTTGTGCCTGGGATTGTGTGTGTTTACCTGTGAGGGCTTCTGTGAGAGACATTTACAGGTGTGTGTCTGTGCTTGTTTGGGCAGCTATGCACTTGTGTGAGTTCATGCTGTGCGTGCACTCCAGGGCTATGGTGAGCTGTTCTACATGGGCATGTATGTCTGTGTACCTTGCACTCATAATCAAGTGTGGGTGTGTGGGTGCCTCTGGGAGGCATGTACCCGGTGTCTGTGCATGCCTGGTGTCTTGTCTGTGCCTCCCCTATCCCTACCTGTGGGCCACTTCCTCTGCAGGCTTATGCATGTGCCCTATAGGGCTCCAGAGGCCCCCATTATTGTGACAGACAAATAGGAGCCCCCCTCCCACCTGTGAGGCCCACGTCCCCGCTGCTGACAGTAGGCAGTCAGCAGCACATCAAACTCACATAGAAGAGCATGGCAAGGAATTCTAAATTTAACACACGTGTATATGTTTGTATAGACAGACATACATAACAGAGATATATACATAGATGCAGAAATGTTGTATTTCTGTCTAAATACATTGTTTGTATATCTTCAGCATTTATTAACACTTACCATACGCTAGGTGTCTTTGCACAGATGATCTCAATTATGACATAAATGCTATACTTTACCGATGAGGAAACCGAGGTACAGAGAGGTTAAGTAATCTGTCTAAGGTCACGAAGCCATTGAGTGATAAGAGATTCAAACCCAGGCCGTCTGGATCCAAGGCCATGTTCCTTAGTGCCATGAGATACTTCTCCCAATATTTCTTCTCCAAGAAAAATGCAGATCCTGGACTTAGGGCCATAGAATTTGCTGCTCAAGAATTGGGTCAGGGAGAAGAGGCTTAACTGCTACGTGGGGAGGAAAGACTTGGGAGGTTCCCCCAGCTCCCCGTTATACACTTACCATGTACCAGACACGGGGGATGGGAGCAGCAGTGAACGAGATGGTTCCCGCTCATGCAGAGCGGGCCAGCCTAGGGTGTGGAGGGCTGCCTTGGGGACAGCAATTAGAATATTATTTGCTGAGCACTTACTTGGTGCCTGGCACTGTGTAAATACTCTACATGCAATATCTCATTCCAGCTTCAACACACTCTGCATGAGGTAGGTGCATGTAGGGCAGCTGTTTTACAGATGAGAAGGTGGTGTGACTTACTCAGGGTCACTCGGGCAGACAGGGATGGAGTGAGGACTTGAGCCTTGGCTTTGGTGGTCAGTGGCTTAAACGGGAGTCAGCAGGGTGTTGTGGCCCCTCACTGGTCAGCTAGAGGACTAGGGGGGCATCCACTTCAGTCCTGCCTAGCCCAGACCCAGGGGATGTTTTATTTAGCTCTGGACCTTTAAGGAGAAATATTATCAGGTGGGGGTGGGTCCCATAAGAAGGGATGTCAGAACCACCTAACTGAAGGAATCAGAGGCATTTACTAAGAAAAGGGGGATGGGGAAACTTCACTGAAAACCCCTCAGAGGAGAAATTAGGGATAAAGTATAGGGGGACAGATAGTCATCAGAGGTCCCTTGGGAGGAAGTGACCTCCCCATCAGTGCAGGCAATCCAGCCCAGTTGGATGATGGCTGTGGCTGTGGAGGGAATTCTAGCATCATATGAAGAACCAGGCGACATATGAGGTCCTTTGCATCCCTGTGAACGTGAGTCTATGAATTTAACTCTGTTCTGGATCAAAGATAATCAGGACCCAGGCTTATCTTTGAGATTCCTGAGTTTTTCAGGGAGACAACATCATGTAGTGGAAACACCATGAGTTTTGGCAGCAGGCAGACCTGGGTTCAAATCCAGGCTCTACCTAACTTGTAACTTTGGGCAGGGGACGTAAACTCAGTGCCTCAGTTTGCACATCACTAAAATAGGTACAGCAATGCTTACCTCAGAGTGTTGTGGGGAGAATTAAATAATGTGCCTGGAACATAGTAGGTGCTGAATAAATGCTCGTTCCTTTTCCTAAATAGCCAAGAACCAGGCTGAGGGAGGGGTGAGAGACCTTGATGATTTTATAACATGCATATGCTTCTATTTAAGCTTATCCTGCTATTAAGAAGTAGAGGTATAGAGAAGCCAGACCCTGGATTCATCTAAGTTCACAAAGTGAGCTAGAGCAGAGCCAGAATGAGTCCAGGTCCCCTGATTCCCTGCCCGGGGACCTTTCCACCTCACCCTGCAGCATAGCACATGCTGGGGAAGTCACCTCTTGCCTTCTGGGCCTCTGTAAAATGACTGCCTTGGGGTGACTGACCTTGGAAGGCCCCTTCCCACTCCCAGCGTGGCAGCATCAGCGACATTCTCTCCACCCCACCCAGGGGCCAGGAGGCGCTGAGTGCTAACCAGTTGCCTTCAGATCCTGTGACGCGCACCCAAATGGGGGACAGATGGTAGGAACAGGAGACGCCCAGGGACTGACCCATGATGCAGACTCTGTAGCCACTAGCTCAGGGATCCCATCCCGCCCACCAGCCTGGGCCCCGAGCCCACCTGTACAGCTGCCTCTCGCTGCCCAGCTGGAAATGTTCATACTGGGCGTAGGCCTCGTTGCCTTCCCAGTCTTGCAGCTCCACACGCAGAGAGTAGGCTGCCCTGCTGGTGAGCTGGTGCACCACCTCGTTGCCCAGCCAGTGCTCCCCAGCTGGGTCGCCGAAACCCTATAGGGGAGGGGAGGGTATGGGTGGGGAGAGGAAGGGAGGGGCGAGTGGGGGTGGGCTACATGTTGACATGGGAGGCTATGCCCCTGGCTGAGCTGGGCTGGACCTGGGTCTGGGGCCACTTATCCAAAACCACTTTGCCTAACGATGAAGTTCATGAAGCACAGTGTGGGCAGGCTTGGGGAGAGGAGAAACCCTTCCCCCGCCTCCTAGAACAAAAAGACTAAGACTTTTGCAAATGTGAAAGCCTGTCAAATATAATTAAATCACATTTCTATGAAGTTCAAGAATAGGCAAAACTAATTATTGCTAGAAGTCAGAACACCGATGTCCTTTGGGGGTGCATTGATTGGGAGGGGGCACAAGGAGGGCTTCTGGGGGCTTCAGACCAATTTATAGCTCTGAATGGTGGTCGCTAGTTGAATACATATGTAAATATTCATTGAAGCTTACACTTAAGATTTATGCGCTTAGTGCATGTATGTTGAATCTCAATTTAGAAATAACGATTTTAATCAGCTGCCTAAATGGTAGACCTAACTTTGTTCAGTGACATGAAAGTCACTGTAAAATTTCAGCAACACAGAAATGTAAAGCTAATAGTGTTGGGAGTCATCCGTGTCCTACAGTGACAAGAAACCAATGCCCCTGGCCAGAACAATAATTCAGCACCAAGGACAGGGGCACACCTACGCCCCCCCCCCCCATTACACATTTTAGTCATGTTCCACTGCTGATTAGTTTAATGTGGTTAATATTCAGCACGCTTTTGTGTATTTCTGCATCTGAGCACCCTATATCTCTTTGCTATTTTTTTTTCTTTTAGCTGAGCCATCCTGCCACCTATTGGCAGCTCAGCGACTGCTCAGCTCGGGCTGGACTCGAACCGCTGTTGCTCAGAATCTCTTTGCTATTTTAATGACAGTTTTAAACCCAATTGGCTCAAGAACACTCATAACTTAATTTGGCATTGATTTTTAAGTCTTTTTCACATGGACAGCAAGCAGACACACAAAAATAATATTGCTGTATTTCCTTGTTGGGTATCTTTTCCTATTTCTTTTGCTTTTAAAAATTTAAGAGCTTTTAAGTCAGCTGGCCAACAATCCTTTATTCAAAATTTAATTTGAAAAATTGGAAGACAATAGGGTGCTATTTCTCATCTTGTAAAATGCACACGGTCTTTGAGCCAGCAACTGCACACTGAAGGTATCTCTCCTGCAGATGTGGTCGCATATGTGTGCAAAGACAAGGAAATTCATTTAAGCAGTGCAGCCACGGGTGAGCAGGGGAGACTCCTTTTTTATGTTTCTTTTTACGTATTCTTAAAAGTTTTAAAGCAATGTATATGTATTATCTTTTCTAAAAATTAAAACAAAAATAAAGTTCAACTATCATTCTTGGGCTTTACATCAGAACTTGCAAAAGAAGGTTCAATTTCAGAGGATGGGGTCCCTGAATGTGAATGGGCATTGGACAAATTTGTTTGAAAGTGGTTGGTTTTAGGTGGGCTGATTTTTTTTTCTGGGAAGGGCTGAGGGCAAATCAGTCCCCTGCCCATGACCCACCTCCTGTCCCCGGTTTCAGGGCTGAAAAACCCCTCCCCAGGGCAGCAATGGTACCTGTTTATAATCCTTCCAGTTCCGCTGGAAATTCACGCTGCCATTCTCACGGCGCTGAATGAGGGTCCACCCGCCTCCATTGGCCTCCAAGTCACAGAACACCTGAGGGAATTGGCGGGGAGGGGAGGGAGCCTTTGGAGGCAGCCAGAAGCCATGTCTGGGCTGTTCCAAGGTGACGTGGCTGCCAGAACCTCACAGAACAACAGGTCAGCCAGCCTGGTGGTCAAGGAAGGGCGTCAGAGAGATCCAGTTAAAATCCCCCACTCATTGTCATCATTTTTCTAAAGTGGTGGGCAAGTGATGCCCTCTTAGCCTTCCTTTCCTCATTGGTAAGATGGGGATGTTAATACCTTAACCTCCTTGCACCTCAGTTTCTCATCTGCAAACTAGGGTTGTTGTGAGAATTCAATGAGACGAGTCATCGAAAGAACAGAGCCTGGCACATACTAGGAACTAAATAAATGGAGGCTTTTCCCTTGCTATCATTGCAGGGTTGCTGTAAGGGTGAAATGCCTCTTTTCACAAGGTGTCAAGTGCTTGGCACATTGTGTAAACTCAGGAAATGCTGTTCCATTTAGCAGACAAATGTTTTCTGAGCAACATCCATGTGTTCACCTCATTCAAGGCACTGATAAGGATAAGACAAAAAGAGTTCTTTCTCTCAAAGAGCTTACATGCATCACAATCACATCTTTCAGGCTAATCTTTGCTCACATCTTATTTTTCCAGCTAGTTCATTACATGTTTAGTGGTCAATGAGGACAAACTTGGTGGCTGGCCCTGGATGAGAAAAATTAGAGACAAGTCAGAGATAAATCAGCCCTCGGGGCTGGCTCGGTTTGGAGGAGGCTATGATAGTGCAGGCAGACAATTGATTATAAACATCTGGGTAGCTACAAGGACAGCTCTCAAGAGGGTGTCACTGGGAAACCCTGGAAGGCTTCCCAGAGGAAGTGCCGTTGCAACAGAGCCTTGGTTGATGATGTGCCTGCCAGGTAAAGATGAGTGGGAATAGCATTTCCAGTGGAGAGAGAAGGCAGCAGGAGTAGAGGCTCTGAGATGGTAAAGGCCTGCTCAGTGAAAGAAGACAGCGGCATCTGCTGAGACGGTAGCAGAGAGTGCAGGAAGGGAAACTGAGGTAAAGGACTTGCTCAAGGCAACTGAGTCTAAAGCAAAGCTGAGGTTTGAGCTCAGATCTCTTGCCTCCCAGGCCCGCTCGTCCCTCTCTATCAGTGTTCCCAAATTTCAGCCATTCATGAAACTTCCTGAATTCCACCATAGCTAAATTTATTTGATTTCATATAAAATATTTACTTTAAAAATGGTATCCCCCTTTTTTAACTTAAATAAATACTTAGACTAAATGTATTTTAAAAAGACATCTTATCAGTACCATAAGTGGAAAACTAGGAACACTTGCCTTTATTCAGATCATTGCAAAAATAAATATAAATGAATACAAAACAGTATTATGAAATTCTAGCTAGCAATGGAAAGCCTGATCTCTCTTTGTTAAAAGGGGGAGTTTGGCAGGTGTGTGAGAAATGTTCAAGACGATCCGAAAACAAATAGAGCCGTTCTCCTTGATAGAGTCAGAAGGGTTGGAAGGAAATTGCAAAGGGAAGTATGAAGTGGGAAGACTGGCTAGTTGTTCCCCAAACCTTTGCGCTTCTGGGGCTGGCCTCCCCCAATCTCCCTCCTCCCCATCTGATAACTGGACCTCAAATCTCAGGGCAACCGTGGGAACCACTTATTAAAGGTGGTGGGGCCTCCATCAGCCCTGGTCCCCAATTTCCCATGTGGAGCAGAGTCCCCACACCTGCCTTAATCAGACTATATGTAAACTAGAAATTCCTTTGTGTTAAGACTCTGGGATTTCAGGGTTTGTTTGTTATAGCAGCTTGTATTACCTTAACCAATACAGAACTGTTTCCTGCTATTCTAACTTAAAAGCAGCTCTGGAGAAGATGCAGAAGGATGTACTTCCAACTTTGGGAACTTTTGCTTTGACCCCACAATCTGATCCCTGGCTGGGTGGGGGGCTCCAGAAGTAGGCCCACCCCACCTTCTTTGGAATCTCAGATGTTGGATGAGGCCTGAAGCTGATGGGGGCAGGGACTTGTTTGTCAGGCCCTTGGCTCAGCACCCTCTGAAAGCCTCAGCCCTCAGGGAGCCCCCTAACCTTCCTGGGCTCTGTCATATTGGCCACATGGATGGTGTAGACGCCACTGGCATTGGCTCCAAAGCGCTGGATCTCTGCACAGTCCTGGAACACCTGCTCAGCTGCCCTCACGGAGACTGCAATGAGATAAAGCAAAAACAACTGGAGGTGGGCTAAGGAGAGAGGAAGGGGACAAGTCGGCACTCCTGCCTGCTTTGTGTCAGGTTCTGGGTTAGGAGGCGCTAGGGGCAGGGAGATGAATTAGACCTGGGAAAGTTTCCTAGAGGAGGGGATAGTGAGCTGGGACCAGGAGTTGCCCAGGTGGAGAAGGGGAGGGTGTTCTAGGCAGAGGGAACAGTCTATGCAAAGGTTCCAAGGTCCTGGTGTGTGCAGGAAACAGGGTGAGGTGAGGGACCATGAGAACAGGACTGAGGCCAGAGAGAGCTCTGGTTGTTCGATGAACATGAGAGGAGTAGGGCAAGATTGGCCCAGAAAGTCACCAAGGAAGGAGACATGAGGTTGAGATTTCAGCGGGTGCCAGGTCAGCCTTGAATGGCAGGCTGAGGGGCCCAGCCTATGCTGAGGAAGAGCACTCTGGCCAGAGTGTGGAACTTACACTCGAGGGGATAAGGCTCAAATCAGGGAGGCCAGAGATAAGGCTGCTCGAGTCTTCTCGGAGAGGGTAATTGGGGCCTGAACTCCAATGAGGTACTTCCTCATTCCACAGACCAGAAAACTGAGGCCGAAATGTGAGGTAATTGGCTCAAGGTCCCACAGCTGGGGTAGTATAGCCTTCTCTCTTTCCAGGGATTTGTCCTTAGAGCTCCCTTGGGTGGGAGGCCCAGGGTCCCCTCCACAGTCCACCCATTCAGCTGGATATTCCTGCAGCCCTGGAGGTGGACCCCACGTTATATGTGCTACCCCATCTCCCCGGGAGCTCACCACTGGCCTTAAGAGCCTGTGTTTCTTCCCTCAGGAGAATTGTAATGACCAAATCCCACTAGGGCCCTGGGGGCCTCTAGACCTGGCCTGAAAAAAAGTGACTACTGACAAATGAACTACCGGGGTTTCAAATTCCCCCTCTGGCTCCTTTTAGTGGGATCCAGTTAGAGGTTTGAGCTGTGAGTCCACCAGAATCCAATCTCTAGGTAGGTGGTTATCCAAGGATGGGGCTGAAGTTCCAGGTGGATAGGTATTCTGGCCAATGAGGAACTAGGAGGCTACCAGGGGCAGGACTTCCTGTTTTGGCCTCACACTTGAACCTGGATCCCAAGTCCTGGAGCTGGGATACTTGTTGGAAGGAGGCTGTTTTTCCTAGATCATAAATGAAGTGACTAAGGCTCCAAATCCATTCGAGCTGGGGCATAAACATTTTCTGGGCAGTTTCCTTGGCCCTAGCTGTTAGCCCCCTGGTCCTTGGGGAACTGCCAAGCCTGGGGAAAGTGCTGGCTTCGCAGGGACAGGCCCAACTTAACCCAGCCAAGTGAGGGTGGAGCTGGGAGCTGGGAGCTGGTCTCAGATTTCTAGCCAGACTTCCCAAGGCTCTGTCCACTGTTGTTTTCCTTAGTCAACAACATAGTGATAACAACAACAGTAACAATAAAAGTGAAATATCTACCATATATTGTAGTGTTTCTCAGCTAGGTACTGCCAGGGGCAGTTTGGGGCCAGGAAAAATATTTTTTGGGGGCGTAACATCACAGTAAAGATGGACTGGTATTGATATGCAACATGGTTTGGCCCCAGCCTGGGCCCCCTCTGAATCTCTGGGCTGGCAGTTTGTACAGCTTTACCCTCTTCTGGCCCTGGGCACTATGCTCAGCCCCGTCATGTGCATGAACGTAACTGGTCCTCTGTGCAATAGGTGCTAGTATTATTCCCATTACACAGGTGAGGAAAATTGAGGCTCTGGCATGTTAAATGACTTGGGCGAAGTCCCAGTGCTAGTAAGCTAAGAAGCCAGAGCTTGAACTCTAGTTTATCTGACTGCAAAACCTGTGCCCTTCCTACTACCCACCTCCCCTTGGGTCTCCATCACTGAACCTATATGAGGCTCAGCAAACAGACATGCTAACAAATGCTGCTGCTGATATTGAGCACTGGTTAGGTTTTCTCTACCCGTGTCCTTGTCCTTCTAACCGTCTGAATGCCCTGAGTTCTCCACCCATTGCCAGCCTCCACCTGCCTAGGACAAAGCAATGCAGTGATGGGGGTGCAGGCTTCCTGCTAAGCTTCAAGGATGCCTGGTTCCTGTGCTTGTCTGCCCAATCTTCTGTTCCACACCTGGTGACTTATCCTCTCTGTTTCTCCGTGTAGACACGGAGGAGAAACAACTCTGTATTGCTCTTCCCTGGTGACAGTGCAGCAGGAGGACAGGGCCTTTGGGCAAAGGGTGGTTAAGGTGAGGTGTCCAACACAACCTCCCACCCAGAGTGGTGAGCAGGCATTGGGCCACAGCCGGGGTTAGTGGTGAGCCTGTGGGAAGAGGCGTTATGGCGGGACTCGGCACTCTGGGCTGAGCTACAAGAAACCCACACATGGTATTAATTTAGGTAGCCTCCCCATCAGGACAACGTACCAGCTGGTGATGGGTTTGGGTTGCTCAGCACTTCATGGTTTGAAAGCCTGCCTATGGCTTCCTTGGGCCTCAAAACCCCTACCCAGCAGGGTCTGCCTGACTTAAATGGAGCTGTGGTGCCATCCTCTGTCCCCAAACTGCTGCTAGCCACAGTGCCTGGCATTCATCACTATTGCTTGATTCCTTGTGCTCCAAAGGCTTTTCAGCCACCCCTGTGGAGATCCAGCAGCAGTAGGAACCCTTTCCTCAGTCTTTCTCACCAAGCCATCCTTCACTCCATGGTTCCAGTTGAACTTCCAAAAACAGTTCTACCCTGTTCAAAGCTCCCCCCCCCCCACCCCCAGTGGCTCTCCGTTGCCCTCAGGCTAAAGTCCCCTCTCCTTATCAGCCTTTGAGGCCTTCCATGGCCTGGCAACTTCAGGCACACTCCTAGCAGAGCATCTGGCATGTCGCAGGCACTCAGCAATTACGTATTTCCATCTCCTTCCCTCAGTGACACACAGACAGAGGGTCAGGCATTTCTGCAAGAGGGGTGGGCCACAGCGATGCCCTTCACTGCTGCATCCCCAGCACTGGGCCTGGCTCACAGTGGGTGCTCAGTGTTTATTGACTGAGTGATTGAAGCTGGAACCAGGAATGCCTTGGTCATCCCCAGTGGGCTCCATTAGAAGGGGCCTGTGGGGATTGGGGAGCAGACCAGGCCTTGTTCTCCCTTCTCAGAAGCCAGGGCCAGAGATGTGTCCGCATTTCTGATTGGCCATTTTGGGCTTACAGGCAGGGGTGTTAGGGTAAGAGAAGTGTTGGGGGGATCACTGAGTCCAACGTCCCCATTCTATAGATAGAGAAACTGAGGCCAATAGAGGGGTGAACACGACGAAGCAAGTGGGGATGGATCCTGGAACACCAAATTGTCACTTAGCTGGGGGTGTTCTTGTTATCATCACCTCTACTAAACAGATGGGGAAACTGAGGCCAACAGAGGGGTCAGGGCATGCCCAAGGTTACTTATGGAGTCAGGAAGAAAAGTCTGGATTGGTTCCTGTTAGGACTGTTGTCATCACCATCACTATTGTTTGCTGTGATTTCTGCAATATTTCACAGGTGGTGGAAGAGGACTGGGGCCTTTTCCCGTAGTGGCTTCCAGGCCCCAGAGAGAATGGGGAGGGTAAGCGGGGTCTCCCCTTCCTTCCTGCCCGCCTCCCTCACCGGGGGGTACCCCGCTAGCTGGCTCACCTAGGCCCTGGGCCATGACACGCACCAGGCGCTGCACAGACTCCAGCAGCTGGCGCTGCTGGCGCTGCAGGAGGCTGGAGTTGCTTCTGGCGGCGCGCAGGCTGCTCTCGAGGCCGGCAAGGGCGCCGCTCTGGCGGCCCAGCAGACGCCGCAGCCGTTCCTTTTCGCCGCGGAGGCTGGCCAGCTCCGCCTGCTGCTGCGTCTCCAGGGCTTGCACCCGTGTCTCCAGCGCGCTGGGGGCGGGGCGCACGGGGGTGAGCCGCGGTCCCCACAAGGCAGCCACACTTACACGCTTTCCCTTGGGGCCCCAGGTGACTTCGCGGTACAGACTGGCGCCGAGGCTCAGAGAGGTAGAGCGTCTAGCCCAGGGTTGCACAGCCCAGAGGTCTGTGGCACAGAATGAGGAGTGGAGGAAAGAAAGATTCGGCCATGCAGTCAGATGGATTTGGGTCCAGTAGAGATAAGAATTGGAGGTGGGAGGGACATGCGAGCAACCAGGTAGCCACAATTAAATCCCAAATCTGCTCTTCCTTTGACCCAGCAGTCCACTCTCAGGAGGTAACATCCAGGAAGCATGGACAAGAATGCCCATGGGGGAGACTGATGGTAATAGGACAAAAACGAAACAGTCTAAATGCCCAACAGCCAAGGCTGGCTGAGTCCCTTGCGTTTGGTGTCCCTGGAAATGTTGAGCCACGAAGAGAAAGGAGGCAGAGCCATTTGCACAGAATCGGAAAGGTGCCCAATCTTGGGAGTGGAAGGACCCTGGTACATGGCTGCCTCTAGTGTAACCCCACTTGTGGGAGGATAAAAAAGAGAGAAAGGAGAAAGGTATTAATGTAAATGTAGGCGGCTGCCCGTGAACTTACAGGAAAAGGCACGGAGACACGCGGAAGGACACAGTGAAGCCTGTGTTTGTAGAAAACGTGAAAGAAAATCCACTAAGTGCTGTTACTCCTGCAGAGCAGGTTTGAGGAGATGGAGATGGAGGGGAGGGAGATGGGGCAGGCGGAGGGGACTGACTTTCCCTCTCGTTTTATAAAGGTCTCTGTTGTCTGATGATATCAGCGTGAGGCATTTCTGTAATTTTTTTTTTAAAAGAAGAGTTTTTAAAGAGAGAAAAGCTTTTGACTCAGCTCTTCCACGTTTGGCATTTTATCCCACAGGTTTGCTCACATGTGTGTGCATTGAGACATGGAATGTTGTTCACTGCATCACGGGTGGCAACAGTAAAACACTGGAAACCACCTCAATACCTGTTAATGGGGAATGCAGAAATAAATGCAGGGACAGCCATACAGCAAACATCATGCAGTTGGACGAGAGCGTGAACACGGGGGTCATGCCCTTATAGAACTATTTCCAGGATAACCGACAAAACAAAACAAAAAACAACAAGGTGCAGAAGAGTGGGATGCTACATTTGGGTTTAAAAAGGGCAAAAAGGAACTATTCGTACATATTTATAAGATACCTGGAATATCAGCTGACAGAATGTCAGCTTCACTGGCACAGGGATTTTTTAAAATCTATTTGTTCACTTCTGTGACCCCTGTGTCTATAACAGTGCCTGACACATGGCAAAAGCTCAAAAAAGAATTTCTTTTCTTAAAAAAATATTGTTGGTTCAAGAAGGACACAAGAAACTAGGCACAGCGGCGGCTGCCTCTGCTGTGGGTGGGCGGCTGGCTGTATGAGGAAACAGGAGAGATTTTCCTGTGTGTGAGGTTATGCTGACCCATTCTCCAGACTAAAACAATAAGTCCAGCCAGGGCCGAGGAACGTCCCCTGAACCCCAAACTGTGCTGCAGGAAGAGAGAAAATTTGGGCACACTCAGATTCTAGAATTTTATCCGTCTCTACAGGCCAAGAGCTTATGGGTGATGCCCTACGTCTTCACTGATTTCTAGGCACCTGGTGCCAATTCAGAGTGACGGCAAGTGTCCCAGTCCTTGCCCTTCCCCACCTTGGGGCGAGGGACTAAATATAAGAAGGTGACAAACTATCACTAACTGCATCCAGATCAGAAGGAACTGGGCGATCCTGATGACCTTATCTTGACCCAGCACGTGAACATCATCTACCCTGTACGTGGGCCTGTGGCTGCCTCCATGTGTGGGTTTTGCCTCCTCCAGCATCCTGACCTTGGCAGTTTTTCTCCACTCAGCTTGAAACCGAGAAGAAATCAGCCTCGGATGTTGGTTTCTCTGCCTTAACTATACCCATGACCCTTTCTTTCTTTGTAACTTTAACGATGTTCCCCGAATGTGTATTTGCTTAAAATGCAGAGACTCTCTGCCAGTGCAGACAAGAAACTGGTAACTGGTTGCTTCTGGGAAGGGAAATCGGTGGATGAAATCAGATTTATTTATTTACAAGTAAGTACATCAAATTAAAACTGACAGAGCAAATTGTATGGTATGTACACTGTAGCTCAATAAACCCGTTAAAACTTATAAAATAAATAAATGGAGAAAGGAATAAAAGAAAGAAAAAGGAAGGTAGACACGGAGGGAGGGAAGAAGGAAGGGAGGAAGGACGAAGAAAGAAAGAATCAGGCAATATGCCTGTCCCCTGTCCCCACCTAGTACTGTGTGGCCAGGTCCTGTGCCTGCCTGGCCCTCAGCCTCAGCCCAGCCCCAGTGCCCACCTTCACTCCAAACTTCATACTGGCCTCCAGCCCTGATTTTAGTCCTTAGCCCTGCCCTGGCCTAGTCCCAGCCCTAGTCCCCAAATGGTCCCTCACTCCAGTCTTAATCCAGGTCCCCAGCTCTGTCCCCAGCCGCTGTCCCAGGCACCAGCCCAAGCCCGGCTTCCCGCCCTGACCCCAGCCCCATCCCAGCCCTGGATCTCACGCTTACTCAGGTCCCAGCCAAGCCCTGGTCCCAGCCCTGTGCCAGGGTGCCAGTGCCCACCTGTTGCAGCCTTGCAGCCGGTGGAGCTCATGACCCTGCAGCAGCAGTTGCTTCTCCATCTTGTTGGTGGACAGTGACGTCTCCAGCAGCTGGATCTCCATTCGGGATGTTTGGTTCAGTATCTGCCTCAGCAAGCAGGAGGAAGTGGTGGTGGGGCTACGTAAGCCCTGCAGGAGCCCTGGCCAGCAGCCCCCCACCAGCCCACAGGCTCTGCCATTCCAGAAACTTGCTGACCTGTTTCCACCCTCCCAGTAGTTAGTCCTGTGCTTGTTTACTCACTCACCCTGACTGAGCTCTCATTGGCTTCCTAAGTTTGCTCTTCCTATCACTGCACGTGTCAGTTCTATTCCTCCCGATGTTCAGGCACCAGGAAAAGTCACCCTTGACCCCCACATCCAACCCATCAGCAAGTACCATCAACTCCGCTGTCCAAATGGGTACCTGACCACTTCCCTCACTCTCCATAGCTCCCACTTTAGCCCTGTGACAGGGTCATCAGGGCGGGTCCCCAGGGAATGGGGGGATACAGGCCCAGAGGAGGCCCTGACCTCACCCAGGGACAGAGGTCAAGGCGAGATGACCTGGGCTGTGAGCCAGCCTGGCTGGCCACAGGCAACCCCCCCCACCCAGTGCCGCCCGCTCACCCTCTGGTACCTGAGCCTCCACGTTGGTCAGCTTCCGGGTCTGGGCAGTGGTCTGGTTTAAGAGGCTGGTGCCCAGCTCCAGCATGGTGGCCGTCTGGTTCTGGACCATGTGCTGCTGCACCTGTGCCAGCTCCGACCTCAAGTTCATCTGGATGTACCTTTCTAGCTGTGGGAAGACCGTGGACTGAGGTCATGGGGAAGGGCTGGGGGAAGGCTCCTGTCCCTTCTGTGTCTCCATGAAGGACATAGAACAACCAGGAGAGAACTCCCTGCCAGGCCAGGCCACCATGACCTTTCACCTGCACCGTTCCAGTAGCTTTCTCCCTGGCTTCTCGGCCTCCACTCTTGTCCCTCTTTGCCCAGTGCATACTCCCCTCAGCAGCCAGGGGGATCCTGTTAAACCTAAGTCAAATCATTCTTCCTCTGCTCAAAACCCTCCCAGGGTTCCTATCTTACTCAGAGGAAAAGTCAGCAGCTTCCTGCATGACATGGCCTCCCGCTGTGGCTCTGACTTCCTGTTAGTCCTCTCTCCCTCACTCTCCTCCAGAAGCACCAGCCCCTATGACATCTCTCCAACACAGCAAGCGGGTGCCTACCTCAGGGCCTTTGCACATGCTGTTCCCTCTGACTGGAAACCCCCCTCTCATCCCCATCCCCGTCGGCATGGCTCACTCCCTCATGCCACTTCAGGTCTCTTCCTACTACTTATCAATCCCCAACTTTATATTACCTGTTTATCTGTCTATTGCCTGTTTTACCCTTGTGATGTCAATTTTATGAAGCCAGGGACGTGGTCTTGCTCACCACTTTATCTCCATGTCTAGCACAACACTTAATGCACAAGGGGTGCTCAATGCATTCAATGGAAAAAGGGGGAGCAGCAAGGGCCAGAGCACAGCCCCCAAAGTCACGTCCATTACCCAGTGTCTTAGGGGAGAGCCAGCAGCAGAGAGTGGGGACACATCTTGCCTAGTATAAGAGTTTGCAGGTCCATCTGCCAAGCTGGGCTTGTTATTTTTCTGGCCCTCTCCATCTGCCAAACAGGGCTGACCTGGCCAGTCTCCAAGGGCTCTCCCATTTCGAATGTTCTGAGATTCTATAAACTAATGTTCGCTTCTTTGACAGGGCTTCTCTTTATCCCAAGAGCAGGAGAAGTGGTCTGGCAGTGAGACCAGGATCAAGCGGCAGAGGTGAACAGTGTGTTCTCAGGGTTCAGTGCCCCTCCCCCACTCTCTCCCCATTCTGCACAGACGGTGGCCTCTTCCCACCACCCTTCCCCCCC